CAATCTGCGCTCTTTCCTTACACTTAGGCAGCACGGAAAGCCGTAAAACTCTTTAAGAAAAGCTCATCTTTCAAACCGGCAGTCTAAATCCCACAGGGATCAACGAACGCTTTTCATTCCACTAATTTATTCGTGTTTTTCTCGTTACCATGTTCCCACCAATAACGTAGCTCCATTTGCTGCCTTCAAAAGCACACACAACCCACAATACCTCTATTTGATCCGACGAAGGGCTAACGTAATCAGCTTTTGTAATCGTTACGGTGGCCAATTTACCATTTCAACTTTGTTGATATATCCAAATTATTTCGTTACCCCCACCGACGCAGCCCCAAACAGTTTCTTTAGAAACTATCAGCCTTTATTTTTGATCCAACGATAACGGTTTCCTTACCACAGTGGCAAATATTTTGTTTGCCTAGGTCACCAAGCCTTAAAATCCCACTTAAGGGAAATTCTATGCAACTGAATGAAACGGACATTTACTTCAACCGGAAGAGCCGACAAGCAATGGTGCCCGTATCCCAAACCACTTGACGGGCGAAGACTGTGAACTAAAATCAATATCGTCCTCGCATATCTTTTGCTAAAAAAAAAAATAAAAAAAAATTCTGGAGGTGAAATGTTACATTTGACACAATTATTTGTTACATTCAAACTGCCTCCATTATTATGTTGTGATTTTCAGTTCCTCTAGCTCTTCCTCATCTCTCGGAGGAAAGAAATGTGGTTAATGTGCGCCAGGGAAATGACAGTGAGAAGGTACCTCAACATTTTCAATCATTAATTTTCTTTACTTCCAAACCGCATGCTAAGGGAGCATGAATTTTTGTGAGAGACGCGCACAGCAATTCTACAGATTAACCTTAGCGATGAAACCTACTGTAACGCGCGCTTTTCTTTCCGTTCTGGGGCCCGTTATTCGAAAGCCCCGGTAACTTAACGGGCCCGAATTTAAAGGATAGGAAAGCAGGCTCTGGCACCCAGACCAGTCCTTTTTGTTTCTTTAGCTGATAGGTTTATTGTATCATTTTCAAAACTTTTGAAATCCCCATTTTGAATGATAACAGAACAGCTCTAAGGGCCCCTTAAGTTACCGGGATTTTCGAGAAACGGGCCCCTAGTCGGCCAGGTCCCGCTAATGGTTAAAGATTACAGGACACTAAATTGAGCCAGCCTGTTACCTTATTCTTCTCTTTCAGAAATACAATAAAAACAGAAGCTGCTGGAGTAATGCAGCCCTTGGAGAAGTACGGAGAAGCACAGGAAACCCAAAAGTGTCTTTTTGCAATCCATAATCCAATCCTTCTACTTTGATTATTATCAAGATATTTCAGTAATAATTTTTCTCTACAATAAACTTCACATGTCTTTTACCGACTTGGTGATTATTCTCTTCGTGTCCCTTATTCAGCTATGGGAGAGGGATTGTTCTCCATCTCCTGGAGCAGTGAGTTTGGACTGAAATTAGCAATTCTGTTGAGGGTGTGCTTCTACAAGTGCAGAAACATGGTGGTATATGTACACTGTTATTTTAAACGCAAACATTGTAATTGGGAAAGGTCTCCAAATTTCATTTCGTTTCTACTTAATTAAATCCTTTTTACATTTAAAAAGGAACAAGTAATAAAAATTCAAGAAAACTGTAAAACTGGTAACATAGTCAAAAGAACTGAATGACAGTTACTATGGCAGCTTTATTGAAACCAAAGCCTCCCCTTGGAGCCATGGTTCCAGCAAAAGCATTATAAATGCTAACATATGAAGAAGAATAATTAAATGAAGACAAAACATGTTTGTACCCATCACTTTTTAGAATTCTCCTTTCAAAAGTATGGTCTGTAACTTTTGCTCAAATTTTCTGTCAAATTTCTTTTCAAACCAAGATGGACTTTGGTAAGATCCTCTACTTAATTTCAAGTTCTCTCCAGTTCTTTCTTTCTTTGATATAATTATGTCTACAAGGTCACTCGTCCATCCATGTCACTAGTGAACAAAACATCAATGTCTACATTTGTTCAGCATGTGCGTCTCAAGAAAGCTAGCTGGTGGGTCTTCTAAACAACAACACATGGGGCTCTGTTAAGAAAAGTGGGATAGACATGGTGAGCCAAGAAAATACTAAATTACATTATGGAAAATCTTACCAAGGAAAAGATCCCATAGCTTCTTTCAAGGTCTACTATAAATTTCAAAGGGTCATCTTTAAGTTTTGAGAAATTTTTTGTCTTAACTTTATATTCAGTCTATAAGTTCTCTACCACACTAAATCAAATCAATCATTGAAGTTCACTAGCTGCCATACACAGTGTGCAACTTTGTCTTATATAACTGATTCATACAATTCATTCTAGAACTTTTCCCCATCACTAGTGACAGTTTTTCTGGTCATGAGGAAGATACTTAATCGTATGTAAGTAAATAACCTTCACTAAATAATATCCATCTATTTTTTTTTAAAGTGACATGAACTCGAGACAGAAGTATCAACAACAACAATTTCATTTTGGTTGTTGGGGTATAAATTGTACATAATTTTGTCTATTTTCCAGGTGTCCCCATCTTCTGCAACAACAGTTGCATTAGAGAATCTATTTTACACTTTCAAATCAATTTCTTCATGGGGAAGGGGGGGGGGGAGAGGGGCTCAAATGCAATTTGCACATTCAAGGAATGTGCACCCAAGCACTTATTCAAAAATTTCAGCTAAAAGGAGGGCTGCTCATTGAAAGGAGGGAATTTGATGAGTGGCTTATTAACTTAGTACAGCAATAAGACAAAAATGAAAAGAACAGATAACAAACATAAAGGAACTCTGCAAACACGTGGGGATAAAAAAATAACTGGAAGTGACTTAAACGAAAAGAAACTATTTGCCTACACTGATTTATCTTCAGCTGAAGCTTGCAAAGTTGAAAAGAAAGTCCCAAAAGAAAAAGGTATCCCTACTGTTTGGGAAAGTGAGAGAGGAGTGGGGGGCACTTGTGTGACATCATGGCCTTGGGGGAGGGGGGCTTATTAGAGCATGGGTGCTTATTCAAGGAAATTTAATATCAACAGATCATCTTAGTTTTACTCCAACAGTCCCAATAGAAAATGGTATCCCTACTGTTTGAGAAAGTGAGGGAGGGAGGAGTGGGGGCACTTGTGTGACTTTACAGCCTTGGGGGAGGGAGGCTTATTAGAGCATGGGTGCTTATTCAAGGAAATTTAGTATCAACAGATCATCTTAGTTTTAC